GGACCTGCCTCTCTATACGTCACTCCCTCCTCCTCATCCCTCCCTCAGCTGTTCTCTCCCCTCCTCCTCCTGCTCTTCACTGGCCTGACCCATTTCTTTCTAAACCAACAACCAGAATCTCTTCTATCTGTCTCTCTCCTACCATCACCCACCTCTTCAGCAGGCCTGTTTTACTGTAGATGCAGATATTATCAGTATTGTGTGATGGTTGAAAGAATTTTATCCATCTGATCCTCTTTGTGCTTCTAAACTGAGATGTCTGGGTAGTGTTGTTTAAAAATGACTAAACTAAGATAAATATAATGAAGTAAATCTTACTGTGCATTGAATGTGAAATGACATAGTTTTGTCCGTCTGTGTATTGTCATTTAATGGACAGAAGGACCCAAGCGAATGGTATTGGGAAGAGAAATGGAGGTGTTTGCTGTGGTAGTTTGGACTACAGATCTGAAGGTCTTTTTAAAGATACTGCCGAATACAGTTTGCAGCTTAGTATCACAGCAGTAAACACGAACGTGGAGACCCAAAGCCACGGCAAAAAATAGCAACAAGGCTTCAGTCGAAACTTCTCACACTTCTCCTGCAGCATAATCCACGTCTCCGATGTTGAACTGTATATTAAGTATGTTCCAAACAATCCTTACTTCACAAATATACTGCTAAATATGCTACGTCCGGTGGTGCTACTTATATTGGCAGCTTTATTGCCAGGTATGTGTGAATTTGACTCAGGATTGTACATTGCTCACCATGTGCTTACTCATACAATAATACAATATCACAATAATAAAATAAAATCAGACACAGGCTACAGTGAGACAAGAAAAATATACACTATGAACAAAACACAACATAGACACATTGACAAATAGTGCAAAGGATGCGGGAGTAAAATTATTATCATTATTATGTACATGACGGAGGTAGATGTGATATACAGGTACATGCACACAGTGTGATGGAGCATAGTGCAAAGTATGTGCCCCTACCAGAGGGGAGAAGCTAGAACAGGTTGTGTCCGATGGTGAGATCTGCGGTCGTGTTTCCTGCCCGTTTCCTGACTCTGGAAATGTTCTTAATGGAGGGCAGGTTGGCACCGATGATCTTTTCTGCAGTCCTGACTGTCCGTTGTAGTCTGTTCCTGTCCTTTTTGGTGGGCAGATCCAAACCAGACAGTGATGGAGGTGCAGAGGACGGACTGGATGATGGCTGTGTAGAAGTGGATCAGCAGCTCCTTGGGCAGGTTGAGCTCCCGCTTTAGGTCCTGGGATATAGTGGATCCCAGAAACCATTAAGTACTTACTAAACATTCTGTATGAAGGAACAGTGGAGAAACAGTTTGAGATGTTTCTATGGGTGTTTTTACCCTTTGTAATGTCCTGTAACTGCTTTGAGTTCAAACTGACAAAGTACAAACGTTTCCTAGCCACTGTGAGTGTTTGGTAGCCTGATAATCTCACTGAATTGCCAATTTCGAGTCTGACATGTTTGCCATTTCTGTTTCGAAGGGGGCTTATTTTAGCCCCAACCAATCAGTACCCAGTCTCCGACAAAATGTGTTGCCATGCCAGCTGCATGGCTCTATGCACGGCGATGTCAGCCTGTCGATCCACAACTTTGGTCCAGGCTGAACTGAATCTCAACAACGCTTTGATTTCCAGGAAATTTGATACAGATATCATGGTGCCCAGAGGATGAATCCTAATGTCTCCTAAAGATCCCCTGACTTTTCAACTCAAAAGAGTCGAGGTTTTTGTTAAAATACAAGCATGCAAGATAAAATGATGATGATTGTTGATGTTGTAAACCTTTGTGTTCAGACAGCTACACCTCAGTAAACAAAGAAGTAGAGGTAGACTTCTGTTGTTAATGTAATTTGATATTTAATTTATTCATTTGGCTGGTGTACAGTATCTGCATCTGTCGTTTGTGCACACAAGCTTGACAAACCAGTTCCACATGCCCTTTAGGTTGTTTTGTTGCTGTGTTACTGAAACCACATCAGACGATGTTTGTGTGTTGTTGTGATATCAGACCTCCTCCTCCCCTTTCTCACCGCCCTGCTGTGTCTCTTTAGCTCGTAAACATCTGTCTCGATTTCACATTTATTTTCCACATATAGGAGCCCCACTTTGCTCCTCCCGAAATGAGCACGTGTTCTACTGCACTTCAGTCGTCACATCGCTTACCCGTCACAAGCTTTGCTCTCTCATTCCCCTCGTCTTTCATGGCCTCATTCAGACCATCACTTTCCCCTCTTTCAACGGCCCTCCTGTTCTCCGTCGGTCAGGCCTGTCCGTCAGTTTTGGATCAAGGGCCAACCTGTAGCTTTTGGATGCTTTCAGATGGTTAATGGACTAAATGAAAATGAAACCAGGGTCTATATTGACACAAACATTCTTGAGACAACAACAGAACTGTGATGAGTATTGTCCCATTATAAGTACTAACATGGAAAATCAGCCGCTTAGCTTACAACTAGAAAGGGGAAATGGCTAGCCAGGTTCTGTCCAAAAGTATTAATATTTGCATCCTGAAACATCTAAAACTCACTAATGAACATGCAGGGAGGGACAATGAATACATAAAAATGACTCTACCTTTTCCAAGGTACCATGCAATTATTTGGCAAACCTTCTGTCTATCTGGCTGTTTGATCGATCTCTTCCCCAGAACACTGACTCAGTTGTAGCTTTTCTCTGTTAATGAGTCAGGCGATAAATCTGACACATACTACCTGTTAACAGATCAAATATTCACATATCCCAGAAATTACCCAGATAAAGTTTAACAAACCGTTCGCTAATGACTCATCATTGTGTCCTAATTTAGTTAGTTGGTGTTTCATAATGAAGGGCCTATTGTGATCGACAACAAAGTTCTTACACATCTTGTGGCATTATAAAGTCGACACTTTATTATTTCCTTTGTGCACAACTGATAAAGCCTTAAAAGGCTGAAAGTTGCAAGCTAATGTTTGCTGTGAGGGCTGCTTCTCAGGTCAAATATTTTTAGAACTTTATTGACCCTTCGCTAAGCCCCGCCCCCCCTTAGTTACTGTTGCTAAGTCCGACAAACTGTCGGCGCTGCGACTGTCTATCCCTGCACCTGGAGAAATATTGTCAAATTAGTTTGAAAAAGCGATCTCAGAAAGAAGCAGACAGTTTTGCAGTTGCATTGTACATTTGAAGGTTGTATTCAGGCTTTCCCACTGACTCAAACGGACGTGGAAAAAATGAAAGACAGAAGCTAAAGCCTACTGATCACACAGTACAAGTGCACCACCGCATCCCCCGACGACTGAGACAAAAGACAACGCTATGAATGATCAACACTGTAAAGATGTGTAGGCATCTATTCATTATTACAATCATTTAAAAAGCATAACAGTAGAGCTTTATTACATTACATTCAGCGTTTGACCGTATCTTAGAAAAACAACAGCCTAAAAAAGCTAGAAAACGACACCTTCTGCATTCTTCTTAAACAAACACCAAAATTTACTGTTAATATTTGTAGCAATTTATGCTAAAAATAGATGGAAAGCTGGCAACCCACAATTTTCTCACCTTGACCTCCTTCAGGTCTGGATACATTTTCTGTTCTGATCTCAACAGATCAAATTACTGAGTGGGCACCGATCAGAGGCAGCATTTTTATGATGTCATCAGGTAGACTTTTCACAAAGTATTTTTTACTGTATTTTTAAAATATAAAACACTGAAGTATTTTGATACAAAATATGAAACTATTTTCATCAACCTACCAAATACAAGCTATAAAATCTTTTTTAGAATTTGAAATATGTATTTACTGATGTATTAACATGTTACATCGCCTTTGGTCAATCCCTGCCGCAACAGAAGCGTTTAAATGGTATGTAAGAGACGTTTCTTAAACAGAACATCATTTTCCAGAGGCGTGATCATTTACGACCTTGTTAGATAGATCACATTGGCTCTTGTGTCCCTTGCATACTCTACCCAGTACGCCCCAATAAAATTGTCCCCATGGGTCTAGCTGATATTACCAGTTTACTGTTGGACGTTAGCAGTGAAATTGCTGAGGGTATGAAGGAGTGTTTATATCTGTTGGTATTTTGCTAGTGGGGTCATAACTTCCAGGGCCAATTATTTAATTTTGTTATTAATTTATTCAACAACTTTTGGGTGGATTGCTATTTAATTTTGTGTTTGTGTTTCACCCATCTAGTGTGGAATAACCAGACTAACTTCCCACTTAATTTTTATAGTTCCAGGGGGCGTTATCAATGGGTGCAGAACCATTTGCCTCTGGATGCAATTGGACAGACCTGCAACCAATCAGAGCCATGAAACATGTGATGCAGCAGAGTACGCTAAAATGTGTTTCCGAAAACATTTGCAATGCAGTAACGGAACATTCATATTAAATTCGCATTGTCTAGTTTGACATTTTCATCCGAGTTTTGTGAGCCTGATATGTTGGTTTGATAGACCTGCAGACAACCAATCAGAGCAGTGAAATGTGACTTTTTCTCTAGCACCATCTTCAGGTCAAATTTGTAATTTGGCCTTTATTTTGTTTAAGACTAAATACTTGCAAAACTAATTTCATAGTTTCACATTAATTTTTTGTTTGAACGTGGTAGACCAAGACAGTGGTTTATTGGGAAATTGGGGTTGAGTGGCTGTTTCTCAACGAGGGAACATGTTTGCACATTGTGGTTTGTGGTCAGCGTCTGCACACCTCCACAGGTAAAGAGATAATACAACTGGAGGCAGTCGAACCTACTTGCTTTCAATGGGCCGCACCCAGATCACACACACACACACACACACACACACACACACACACACACACACACACACACACACACAATAACAGAAAGCTGTCCTGTAGGATATAATTAGCGATCCATGGTGAAGTCTGTTCTCTCAGACTCACTCATGTTCCAGCATGCTGGTGGCAGATACCTTCCCTTCTAGCATACTTGCCATTGACCTGTGACACACACACACACACACACACACACACACACACACACACACACACACACACACACCTGTAGTGCTGTTAAATGTCAGCGTTTGGCTAATCGAGAACGTCACTTGTCTCGTCAGACAAATACTTATTAAACCTTATCCTTTTATTCAGCCTTGGGTAAGCATGTAGCACAAGTACCTACACGCTCCTTAAGTCTGTCATTGCAGCCTTATAGTCTGGGTAACTGTAGAGTTTATTTGGACTCCCACATTGTTCCCTGCAGATCTCACCAAGGCTACAGCTGTTCACTACATCTAATTTAGAACCAGCCCGCTCCCAGTGGGCAGAGCTACTGCTGTTATTTTGGAAGTGAACTACTAGTTATTTGCAGTGAGACAGGACATTGTGGAACACAGAGAGGCAGGGAAAATAACCAGGAACTTCTCATAGTCTTGTCAAGTCAGGCCTTGTTGTAGAGCACAAGCTCACTCAGAAGTAATTCAAATTGCTTTACCGAGTGTCAAAACTGTAAAATAATTAAGTCATGACAGGTCTACGCTTTTTTGATAACTGTTAACTAAACACTTCTTGGCCTACTTTTGACTACCGTATATAACTTACAGGTATATTCAGAGAGTATAAAGTTTAGATGTTTGGAGAGATTTTGACTTATAGATTAATATAATGGTTTTAATTGAAAATACTGAATACAGCACTTTTAACAAATGTTTACAAACCATACCTGTGTAAACCAATATAACAACTTTTATTCTGCAGAAGGGTTTAAATGCAGGTGATGTGAAGTTTTGGCTCCCATTAAAGATAAAATAAGTGTCAAATATATAAAAATCTGGACTTTAGTTTACTTCAGCTTACAGGAGAACCAGGCCTTTATTTTGAAACAAGCTCTTATTAGAGACGGGTCTTTATTTCCAAACCCTTCTCTTTTATCATATTTTAGTAAGAAGTCTCTCAGTTTTCTGACCTGCTCATTTACTGTGTTAATGCCAACAGTTCCTCCAGCATCTGTTTCACATTAAAAGCCTCCCAGCATTTTAGGGGAAAGGAAGTTCTTAGTTTCACAAACATCCATTTTGCCACCAACACAGTCAATTAGTGACTTAAAAACTGTGTTTGTGCTAAAAAGAGAAACTCCTAGCAACAGAGTAGAGACATTATTTGATTGTGCTGGTGGAGAACTGTACATGCATGCTTGAAAGATCACTTTCATTGAAATTATCACTCCCATAACATTGATAATGGACAGCTTCAAAGGGATTAATTGATGTAAAACAACCAAAAATATAATTTTTATTTATTCCACGCCTTTTTTTCCTGCCTTTTTTATTTGACAATTGTCAGTATCTGTGAGAAGACAGTGAGAATCGGATGTGTATTTGTTGAGTTGCATTATCTTCCACAGCCTTGGCTTTTTTCAAAGTGACTTTGAGATAGGACAAAACTTCAGCAGGACCGGAGTAGAGCCCCCCCAACCCAAGCTTATTGTGTCTGCCACAGGAAGTTGTCTGGCCTTGAAACAGGGTTTTGTCCAATGGGAGGACATCACAGAGGAAGTTGATGTAGTATAGAGAAATCAGGCCACAGTGAACTGTTGTTGACACGGATCATCAGCAGATTGCACCGCTGATGAAGTCCCCTCAGGTAGTGCAACTGAATTTAAATTGCTTATTTATTCTGCTGCATTATACAGGTCTGCATGTTCCCATTAGGGGAAGGGATGCATTTGTATATATTTATATATGTCTTAGTTTAATGACTGCAGCCTCTTTCATGTTGGTTATCGTCTATTCCGTATTTATAAGTGGTGCATAAATATCTAAAAAAATACTCTATAACACACTATATGTTTTTTTAGGGGGGGGGGGGGGCGGCAGATCAAGTGAAAGAATCCCTTTCACGAGAAACGAGCAAAAATATGAGTCTTGGCGGTGTGAGTCTTAGTTGTGGTGAGCATGAAGAGGCATTACAGGGTTAAAAATGGTTTGTTTCGGTGAGTTATTATCAGAAATGATTCTTTGTAAATGTTTGCGGATCCTCTCTCTGATGAATGAGATCCATTGTGGATGAAAAGGACTGGCTGACACAGATTCCTGCCTCAGTAACAGAGCGGATGTGTGTGACAGGGCATCAGTGTTTGTCAGACACACACAGTCCAGTTGTGTGTAGAAGGAAAATTGGGCAGCGAGCGATGGAGACTGTAGCTTTCTGTGTCGACTGACGTGGACCTGCAGTTTGCCAGATGATTCTTGATAACTAACTTTTAAGCACAGCTTTTTGCCAAGAATTTTTTCACTCTTAAGTCAGTTCTTAGCAGTTTGTAGTAATGGTTAGTACTTAGAAACAGTTATATGTCCTCTGTGGCTCTGGAGGGGCTTTGTCAACTCTGAGAAAATAACCCTGAGTCTCTTGACAAAACAGTCTCACCTCAAGGTCCATTTATTAGCTGCTCTGGATCAGATCACATGATCCTCATCAGCAGATGGATTTTGCCAGTTGACAACTTGATCCTGATTCTGTGTTACAAACTGTGTGTGCTGTTGAAAGATGTGAGGGGAGGGTCAAATCAGTAGAGTGCATTAAAAGTCTGTGTTCTTTTTCTTAAACTGGACCCTCACAAGATACTTTGGGGACCTTTTAGGTTAAGTACTAAGTCACATGGGTTTTCTGTCGAGCTTTGTGTGCATTCAGTTTTAGTCTTTCTTATTTATGTTCTTATTTTTAGGTCAATCGGTTCGCATTCGAGCCCGCTGAACTGCACTTAACTTTGTAAAAGGTGCTTAAGTATGTGACTGGATTTAGTACAAAATCGTTTGGTTGTTAATCGGTAACAGTGCTGATTTTACTAGCTTGTATAGAGCTGATGTGTTGAAGGTTTTCACCTGAAAGCAGCTGTATGTAATAAATGTTACCCCCTCTCTTTCTCTGCAGTCTTTTCTCTAGCCGCCATCATTCTGTGCTGTAAGGCCGACCCCAAAATGTCTTCCAATGGGGACCTTAGCGACCTCGGCAGCTCTGACAGCTTCTGGGAGGTACAGTAGTACACATACGCTTGTATCTCTGTCTCATTGGCATAATGCATTCCCTAGCACCTTAAACTAACCTTAACTTAACCATTATGCCTAACCTTAACCCAATTGTAGCCTGAACCCTAAAACCACGACTTATCCCCCCAAAAAACACTCTCTCTACTCGTCAGGACCTCAATTTTCCCTTACAGTGACTAGAGTCATGTATAATTCCATTATTCCATGCAGAGTATAATCTAATATACATGGTTATATTGGCCAATAACGTGTTGTTTTTAGATGGATTTTTTATTAATTACTATGACTGGTGTTTTAAGGGAGTGTGGTGTACAGTTTGTCAGAGGTGACGTCATTCAACTGCATTATTCTATAACAAAATACATTTAACGTCAGCCAGTAATGGTTTTAGATTAGATTTGCTGTCATTTAGGATGGAAGAAACGTGTAAACATTTAGAAAAGACGATGGTGACTGAGATCAGAGCTAAACTTTCAGATCCAGCTTTTTGTCAATCATCTCAAAATGCCAGATATTGGCCCAGTTAATCGGTCTATCACTGCACACACTCACACACCAATGGCAGTGGGTCACCATGGTGCTAACCTGCTAACATGCCGGTCTGACAATTGGGAGCAATTTTGGTATCTTGCTAAGGGACACATTGACATGAACAGAACCACCAACTCTGTGATAAGAAGACAAATCTGCCCCAGCATTTAACAAACAACATATAGCGGACAGTATGGTCTCTGTACTTGCGTTACTGTTTCCTATGTGGTTAAAAATGTCAACTAAACCCTAGATATATTTATCATAGGCTATCAGAGCAGCTGAGAGGAGCAGCAGGAGTTTGAAGCGGTCTGAGAAGGCAGCTTGTCAGGCTGTGGTGTTTACATAGAGACACAGACACATAATGAGCCCCTGCTGACAGCCAGCTTCACAGCTATCCATCTGGAAAAACTACATACCTAACTCCTCTCGCTCTCTGCTCTGCCTCTCCTCTTTCACTCTTATCTAAATGCCTTCTGTACATTATCACCAAACACCCTGCAGGGTAACATGCTACACTAATATTAGTATGTTGGTAACATGACTGAGTAGAAAAGCATTTGAATGCCCTACAGCTGTTCAGTCTTATTTCTGTTTCCTCAGTCATTGTGTGTGTGTGTTCTTCTGCAGCCAGGGAACTACAAAAGGACAGTGAAGCGGATAGACGATGGCCACCGGCTGTGTAATGAGCTGGTCAGCTGCTTCCAGGAGAGGGCAAAGATAGAAAAGAGTTACGCTCTGCAGCTGAGCGACTGGGCCAAGAGGTGGAGGGGCGTTGTGGAGAAAGGTGAGTTGAAAACACTGACCATGTGGGGTTCAGGCTGCAGCAGAGCATCAGTTAAATCTAACTTCCTATAAGAAAATTACACCAAAAACTATGTTTCATATATTGCCGTTTATTTGTTTTGAGGAGTTTTGATCTCTACTCTGCCGGCGTCTGAAAATAAGCCATGTAATATACCTGCAAGACCTCAGGTTTTGCTGCAACTAAGGCTTTGTTCAGACTGTGGGCAAATCAGATTCGTCCAGACTTTCAGTCTGATGTCTACCATCAGAATCTATCATTCTACATGGGATGGTAAGAGTGTTTCTCCTCTCCCCTCCCTCAGGTCCTCAGTATGGTACGCTGGAGAAAGCATGGCACGCCTTTATGCAGGCGGCCGATCGGCTCAGCGAGCTGCATCTGGACCTGCGGGAGAGGCTGGCAGGGGAGGACAGCGAGAAGATGCGCAACTGGCAGAAGGATGCCTTCCACAAGCAGATGATTGGAGGCTTCAGGGAGACCAAGGATGCAGACGACGGCTTCCGCAAAGCACAGAAACCCTGGGTCCGCAAACTGAAAGAGGTGAGGGCTGCCTGAGTGGGCTGTGATGTCAGCCAGTAGGATGTCAGTTAAGATGGATTAATGCAGGTTTTCATTTATATTTCAGTGTTAGATTTCATCCATTGATATCCCCTCCACAGCAGCAGCTAATGTGTTGCA